TGCACTACTTTCTTCTCCTACCGATTCTAAAAATAATTAGTGGGATGTACCCACATATTGACCAACATCACAAAATTTATATAACTGGCCCAAACTGGCAGATGATGAAATAAGCAATGTTCTACTTTCATATTTGTAAGCATTATGTGTCCAGTGGTAAAAAGCCTATCAGAATGGAATAAAAAAAAGAATGTACAAATAATAATAATTGATTTAACAAAAAAAAATTATTTTCTTCTCATTCAGAACATTTTTATTCTCATGTTCATAACTAAACCTAAACATAAAAAAAATGCTGGCCTTGTAATGAAGAAAGGGACCTCTTTCAAAATAGATAATTTCAGGGACGCTGGGTCAGAGGTACCAGGGGGGTACTTTAACTAAAAATAAATTAATGCTTTGAAATCTGCCCTTTGTTAAGCAATGGTGCCTCTTTCCAAATTTGTGAATTTCATGGCTTTTGGATTAAAACACGAACCAAATACAATCACTGGAAAGTTGTTGCATGATACTCAGGTGACCTATAAGGCCCGTGGGCCTCTTGTTAATTGTGTCATTCTCAAGTTTATAAAAATTTGATTTATATTTTCAAAAAAAATGTTTGATACACATAATAATTATTCATCGTCTCAAGCCACGGTCCGGAGTCCGCATATAACTCTCTCCTACCCGTGGCTGCTTGATCACAAAAAGTGTCGTAATCTTGAATATCCACACCTAGCTATTGTGACATTATATTCAGTCAATGACAAGTTTTGTTTCCATCGCAATTGAAATCAACAATTTACATCAACTGTATACAAGAAATATTTTGGACACTGCGACTGGATATTTAAAGGTCACAACAAAGTTCATTATCTGACTATACTTAACTGGCATTGGTCAATATTTTAGTGAACTACGAGAAATTCTCTTCTCATTCAGCCAGTTATTGGTTATCAGTTATCATCAACCAGAATGGGAGAGGATCGTACATTTTGGTCGTCGTTTGAGACGATGTACTTATTATGCTTGATTAATTCATAATAACACACTATTTAAATACATTATATCTATTCGAATGAATGCTCACATATGGAACAAGCTGTTCTTTATAGACTGCTGTGGTATTTTAAATCTGCATAAAGTATGTGGTTTAGAATATCCATTTTCTAAATTTTTCAGTCACTTTCGAATTATTGTACATGTATACATGGGTGGTCAAACTACATTTCACTGGATGGTTTAGCAACACTCCCATGCACGGGAACAGCCTTGCCCCAGGAATTTTGCCCTGAAGTAACATTTGCAGTCCATTTTCTCCTTTCTTTTAACAACCTTGGCAGCCATGCAGGTATGCGATCTACGAAAGCCATGAAGGGACAACGGGTTTTAAAAATGTATAAAAGTAAAGTGAGTTCTCGAATTATACAATTCTCTCGGATTGACAATCTGTTATAACAAATTGCCAATTCGTTCTCACAGATTATCAATTCGTTCCCTCAAATTACACAATCGCTATCTTGGATTGTTTAATTCATTCTCTTAGTTTAAACGATTTGTTCCCTTGGAATGTAAACCCTTCCCATGATTTCATTAATATTATTTATCTGTACATATCTGATATAGTTGTACATGTTTAATGAATAGAATATTGAAGTAGTTTACATCCTACCTTTTATTACATATTACGGTCCAAAATAAGAAAATTACATGAACATTTTTCTAATCCATATGCTAGTACTGATATTTGTACAAAAAAAATCTTAGGTTTTTGTATTGCATGTATATATGAATAATTGAAAGTCTTAAATAGTAAAAGTAAATATTGGTCCTGTGTAATGATAATATTTCTAAAATAAATATATGTTGAATTAGTTATAAAAGAGGTTCGAAACGACCGGTTGCTGAAACAAAATAAATAGAACACACTAAATTGATTAAAATGGTTGGATGTATTTGTACATATATGTAATGAAATTTGAGAGCACGGATTGCCAAAATCATAAGACTGATGTGAGAAATCGACATCTCGAATTATTAATCTGTGAAAACAAATTATGTAATTCGAGATCTCGAATATTAAATCGAGGGAACGAATTAGTAATCCGTGGGATCGGATTTTGAAATTCGAGATCTCGTATTATAAACTGAGGGAACGGATTGTATAATTCAAGATCTCAAATTCATTTTTTTACTTTTTTGAAAAATTGATGTGTCCCTTCATGGCTTTCGTAGCAATCTAATTAAAATTAGATCTTTCATCCCCTCCCTGATTTTTTTATATGTCGCGATAGCGTAAATAGAGGTCTGGCTTTAGTCAGGTTGCTAAATGTGTTATTTGTTTCAGTCAGTAATTCAACCATGATGGTTGTTGAATTTTCAGTCCTGATACATTGACTTAACAATATCATTTAACTACTTGAATCACATAATTAATACTATTTTTATTTTAAAAGGAAAATCATATCAATGTATTAATTGTAGCATTCTTAATTTTATTTATAAATGTAAATTCACATATCTGTTTCAAAATATTTAAATCTTTTACAGGATAGAAGCTGATCACTTGTACTTGACAGCAAATAATAACGTCTTGGACAAGTTAAAGTATTTCCTGTAGTCTTACAGAGAAATGACTGTTGATAAAGAATGGTGGACACAAAGTAAATGTGCTCTTCAATATTTTGTGGAAGATTTAATTATTCTGATTTGGAATTCATCTTGAAATATTTCCTGATTTGTATATTTGGATATAAACGTCACATTTTCAACTTATTGACTAAACAGTTTTGTATTAAATATTGCCAATGTCGTCTATTATTATTATTTCCCTCCAAGATGGCATGCCAAGTCTTTATTGTACTCCTTAAGCTCTGTTATTCCAGAAAAATCTTTTAATGAAGTTTAGTTTTTTTTCTTGTTAGATGAAATCCATGAAAATAAAGGTTATTTTTAATGACATTTCTTTCAATCATGGATAAATCATCTAATAGTTGAGGTAAAAAAAAAAGATAAAATATGCAAGCAACGAATTCTGGTCTGCTTCTCTTCTTACAAACCCCTAGCATATCATGCTATCAAAACATGTATAAAATCTTTTTTTGAAACAAAAAAAAACCATTCTCTTCTCAACTATTTGATGATTTATCCATGATTGAAGCATTTCAAAATTTAAAGCAGAAGTCTGTACTGATATGACCTTGACCATCTACGAACAAGAGTGTCAAGGTCAATACTTAATACAAAAAATGTTCTTTAATTTTGGCCCATATCTTACACACAATATCATGAAATAAAAAAAAAGTGTCTCGAATGTGTCCAGAATGTGAAATAACACACATGTATTTAGCCAAAAAATTGAAAATGCTGTTGCTAAGCAACCACTTTAAGGTCATTAAACAAATATTTGAACTTAAATGATGTATGGATATTGAAGTTCTTATCCCTTCTGGAGAGTTTATTCAGAATTTTCCATTCCAGCATCCATTGTTTAAAATTTTATTAAGAATATTGAAAGATGTTAAAATATTGATGACATTTTTGCACTTATTTGACCTTTGACCTCCTAAAAATAGTTCTAATGAGGTTAATCTTTAAAACAATTTATCTGCTGTATGTCTCTTGTAATTTTATGACCTCACATCTAACTTTAATATGTGTTTGGATGCATAAATATGTCTAGGATGAGTAAAAAACGAAAATTGCTGCCCGAAAATTAAAAAAATTCTGCGTTGCTAAGCAAAGCCTTTTAAGTTGTTATATGCAGAATTGAAAAAAAAGTTTGTGTTTCATGTAGTACAGTACAATGCTCTTTTGTGGATATATCCCAAATTTCCTATTTCAACATACATCATAGTAAATATTCAGCTTGAAGATAAAAAGTATAAAAAAAAATTCCATTAAATTGTGCACTTAATTGATCTTTTACCTTCATTTTTACTAATAAGGTCCATTGTTGGGTGCCTGAATAGGCATAAAATATCATCTCTTAAGAAATTCCCTACAAAATGGTATGCATTATACCTAGCTTTCTCCTTGGACAAAAAAATTAGAAATAATTTAATGCCATGTCTAAAGGTCTCCAAAATCACGTAAAATGTGCCGGTAGAGAAAGGGTTAATTGCATTAAAGATTATCGAAATAAACTGTGTTTCAAACCCTTTTCTTTAAACGCATTCAAGTTTTAGGTTTTTTATTTGAGTAATTAATATAAAGAAAACATTCCATCATTATCAGTATTACAACTAAAAGAATAATCTTGAGAATATTTACATATATACAGTCATTTTTATAACTCTATCAGTCATTAAAATTCTAAATAGAAAAATATTTTTAAAACTATATATAAAGGCTTAAATACAAAATATAGTACACATGTACGAGTACACTATACATTTTCAGTCGACTTCATTCATACCACATGTTAATTCTTCAATCTACAATTTACTAATATAGTTATATGCTAAAACACAATAGAGAAGATAACCACTGATATAATATCGACTGAAAAAGATTTTTAAAAATGTTCAACAAATCAGACCTAAAGTATCCTTTTGAAAAGTCTGCGCTTTTGAATAGTTCGCGTACATATGTATTCAGCATCGTATTTGCACAAATTGATACATGTATAACGCGATTATACCCTATTAAGATAAATATCTTATTCCTTTTTTAATTTAATTCTAAAACAAAATATTGATTAGCATTTCCATAGACTGAGATTATAAAAATATGTGTTTAAGTATTGTCTCTCACTTGGGCTTTTTTTTATCGGAACCATCGATCTTCTTTAATGCTATTTGTTTTCTGTTTCCTTTTTTCTGTGGAGCTACTTTTATAGAAAGAAAGCCGATTATGACGCCTACAGTCAGGACTTTGCCTTCAGCAAAGTCCAGCAAAAATGATTAGTACAAACATCTTATACACTTGGTAATTCTCATTGTCGGGTTCGACTGAATTGTTCATTTTGTGAACTAATATATGTACATAATTACTTTTACTTCGCAAGAGATGTCCTCTTATATTGTGTTGAATTCTAAGGAAATGTGTGTTCTTTGTGTAAAATGGTCTAGTGCATTTTTAAAATTAAAGGCAATGCATTCTTTCAAGGAAGTTTCGCACTCCGCTCCGAAATCAAAATCATCACCGTAAACCATCCCAACCGCATACAGTCTATTCATATCCCTGGTCAAAACAATGGCTCCACTGTCTCCTTCCTCAGAAAATTTCTTTTGAGGATCTTCTCTGTTCTCTGGCAAAATAATCATAACCTCTTTATCAAACATCTCAAAATTATCGATTTTTTCAATTCTACCCGTTGTTTCTCCTGTTGTTGCGCCAAATTTAAACACTTTCCGGTAACTTAGAAAGGTTTTTGTAAGTTGTTGTATAAACACATTTTCGTCATATATGTGAGTTCTTGGCCTTCCATAAGCGGGATCTAACTGGACAACAGCGAAGTCGGGCATGATTGAACTTGGATTTGCATTAACTTTTGGCCAAATGCACTTACCTATTCTAGATAATTGGTCAATAGTATGAGCAATATCATTTTCCATAAACATGTGTCCGGATGTAAGTGCAACAATCCTGTGAGAATTTGTCAGATTTTCTGGTAAATTCCCCTTAATTTTGCCAAATATGCCTATTGTTCCTCGCATGTTCCTATCAATGTTCACAATATAACCACCGCAGTTAATCGCACTGTGTGGGTTATAGGAGGAACTTGTCAAAGTTTTAAACAAAACCTTTCCTTTAAAATTTTCTTGTATTAAATTTTTAATTCCCTTCATTTTGTCTTCTTTCTCTGGAGACTTTTCATTTTCAAAAACATATAGAGTCTCCCCGCGAAGTCTGTATCCAACTACACCAAAACGTCTGCCACTGAAAAGAAACCAGACATGTTCAAAATATACAGATCACATTAGCATTTTGATTTATTTGTTCGAAAGTAATTACGGTTGGAACTTATATAGAAAAATGTTTGCTTGCCCTCTCCCGACTCAGGGTACAACTAGATATCATTGAGATGGTGGCCATCTCAAAAGGCCCCGCTTTTAGCAATGAACATCAAAATTTAACTAGCTGAAAAAAGTTTACTTTGAAGGTGTTTGAAATTAAAGGGGACAAAAAGTATTACTTCCTGAAAAATAATACAATTTAAAAAAATTTCAGAAATGTATCCTCTGTGAAAACTCTTGCATTTCCTCTATCATAATATGGAAGGAAAAATCACAAATGTTCCATATCCAGTCAATATGTTTGACGCTGAGTGGAGCTGAGAAAAAGAAATTATGCAGCTACATGTAACAAATAAATAATTAAAAAGATTTTTGACCTTGACCTTTGACCTAGAAACTTTGTTCAAAGTTACTGCATATTCACTGACCAAAGGCACTCTTTGAGTGAAGTATGAGCAACATTAGACTAATAAGAGAGAAAATATGCTCCGGACAAGGATTTTTCACATAATTTTGCTACGACCTTGACACTCAACCAAGAAACATGATTCAAGGTCACCGCACACCGGTTACCCAAAGTCACTACGTGGGTGAAGTATGAGGCAGGTTGGGCCAAATAGAGAGAAGATATGGTCCGGACAAGGATTTTTCACATAATTCTGCTTTGACCATGACCTTCCACCTAGGAACATCGTTCAAGGTCACCGCACACTGGTTACCCAAAGGCACTATGTGGGTGAAGTATGAAGCAGATTGGACCAAAGAGAGAGAAGATATGGTCCGGACAAGGATTTTTCAAATAATTCTATGTCCTTGAAACATGGTTCAAGGTCACTGCACACCAGTTACCCAAAGGCACTCTGTGGGTGAAGTATGAGCCAGATTGGGCCAAGGAGAGAGAAGATATGCTCCGGACAAGAGATCTCGGACGGACAGCTGGACGGACGGACAGACTAATTAATGGGTCGATAGGTACGTGGGAAATTCCTTTTGTTTTTGACATTACATTGTTGTTGAGTTGCTACTAGGTACATGTAACAAAACGTTAATTTAAAATTAAATAAAATGACATTTATTAAAGCTAATAAATATCTTACAAATTATAACTATGATTAAAGGGGCATGGACACAGTTTCAACTAAAAAAATTTAAAACCAATTTTAATGTTTGCAATCCCTTACTAAGGTAATTTTAATGGTCTGCAGAAATATGAACATCATTTGTTGATTTACGGAGATACAGAACTTAAAATCCTTCATAATGTAAACAAGGCTCGTGCCTTGTTTTTGTTTACATATATAAAATATCATATTTACAACAAAACGAAATTCAGCAAATCACTAAAAACTTTTTATCGTATTTATAATTCTTCTTTGTTGAAAAAAAATCTGCTTTGTACAAGCATATACATGTATTAGTAAATTTAATCTATGTAAACAAAAACATGGCCCAGACCTTGTTTACATAACAGAGGTTAGGAGCTCTAAATCTGTCTTGTATCTCGAAAACTGAAATTTAATTTTTTTTGTTTGTTTATTAGAAATACCTCAGTTGAGAATTTGTAAACATTAAAAGATTGATTTTTTTTTTAGCTGAAACTGTGTCTATGCCCCTTTAACATCGTCAACGAACTTTCCAGACAACCCTCATAAAAGCTGGGTTTGGGTAGTTTACGCTTTACAAAACCTACTCCGAAATATCTGACGTTTTCCAAAACGTCAGAAAACGTCAGATATTTCGGACGATATAAACCATGAAGTGGTTTATAAAAAGGGTAAAATTACACTAGTTTATATAACTTTTGTAGCTATTGAAATAATTGCTTATAATTTAATATTCAACCATTAATTGCATATATAAAAAATACGAAAATATGACACGACTTGTTCATATTTAAAATGCAATGTCAATCGGATTCATACACCTTTGACGTAAGTAATTGTGACGTAGGCAACCCAGGTTATACAATATCGATTAAATTTTATCCAAACAAATGACGCGTTACAATAAAAATCAAATTATTAAACCTTACTCTTTCAAGTTTCTAATGCAATCTTCTGTCAGCATTTGTGTTGCTGTGGGTTTTCTTTCTTGAAGCTTTTTAAAAAGAGCCTCGAGTTGAGATTTGTATACAGCGACTTTACGTGTGCTTGTTTTTGATTCAAGATCATTCTTTAACAAGTTGAGCTTTTTCTCCAGTGTGTTGTAGAGGGCATTGTAAATGACTCCCATGTCAGATGTTGCTCTTATGACGTGCAACGGTGGGCAGAGGTGAAGACGTTTTATGCGAGTGACCGCTTCATCCTGCTCGGCGTCTGTGATGAAAAACAATCTGCACGGATCGATATCTTTCACAGTCCTCTTAACGTCCTCAACTGATATCTGTAGATAGAAATTATCATTAAAAATTCCATTCACTTATCATTACAACAGGCCCAAGGACCACAACTCTCACCCCAGATAGCATGACTACGTTGGCCCAACGTTGGCTAATGGTTGGACCGTTGGCCGATGGTTGGCGTTGGGTTTACAACGTTGGCCCAATGTTGGGCCAATGTTAACATTAAACTATTTTACTCAGAGGCCGAGGTTGGTTGGGGACACAACGTTGGCCCAATGTTGGGCCAATGTCAACATTACAATTTTACTCGGAGGCCGAGGTTGGTTGGGGACACAAAGTTGGCCCAACATTGGGCCACTGTTGTTGGCTTGTCACCACTAATTTGACAGATTTTGATGGGAGTACAACATTGGCCCAACGTTGGGCCAACATTGGTGAATCACGTTCTTATTTTGTTGTAGTTTGTTGGGCATACAACGCTGGCCCAATGTTGGGTCAATGTCAACATAACACTATTTTACTTAGAAGCTGGGGTGAGGACACTTCAATGTCCCAACGTAGGACCACCGTTTACAACGTTGGGTTTACAACGTTGGCCCAATGTTGGGTCACTGTCAACATTACAATATTTTACTCAGAGGCCGAGGTTGGTTGGGAACACAACAGTGACACAACGTTGGGCCATTGTTGTTAGCTTGTCGCCACTAAGCTGAAAGATTTTGTTGGGAGTACAACATTGGCCCAACGTTAGGCCAATGTTGGTAAGTCACGACCTTATTACGATACAATATTTTGTATAGACAACGTTGAACCAACTTTAAGTGAAGTCAGAATTCAGGAAACATGTGAACTGTTTGTTAAAAAATCGGACAAGAAGATGGAAAAGTGAAAGAAAAAAAATAGTAAATTATGTACATTTAATGTTACATATACAGTGTATATCAACCACGAGTACCTAAAACATGCATGACGATGTATCATTAGTAATATAACTTTTATATTTTTTAATTTAATGTGAAACTTTAATAAAATATGTGTAAATGTTAATTTAAACACTACTAGTTCTATAAAGTAAATGTTTTTGAGAATAGTATAACATAAATTTAAATTAACTTGCATATTTTACAAAATATAAGACGAGCAAGACACACACTTTCTAAAGTGTTGCATTTAGGGGACATATTCTAAGATAAGAGAACATTTTCTGACCAAACAATTAGGCAAGGGTTTTGCACAGCGTGAGACTGGCCAGTTTCTATGGTAATTGCGATATCTGATAGGACAGGATGGTCAAATCTGCATCCTTTTAGCACGCCTAACATTTTAATCTCGGATGTTTCCTACAGCAGAACGTTGAAGATTTTATGTTAAAAAGAGAGCTTTGGAATGTGTATTCTTTAATGTGGATTAATTTTAATAGCTATGTCCAGACATTTCAAATACGGATCGAAATGTAAGTACTATATTTACCTCTCAAATAACATGTATTTCAGATTTTAGAACACAAAATGCAAAGTTTGTTTCATGCGATCTTTATCCTTTTCTAAGTTTGCTTTAGTTTTAAATTAAATATGTAACTAGATCAGTCTCTAATCACTGTATCCTTTCTGTATAAAACTTATAAAATAAAAAGTATCACTGATCTATGTCAGTTATTATTACCTTAATCAAAATCTAATCTGTAAATTTAATTTTTGAATATCTTTGAATTTTTGCCTGGGTCACTTTCGTTTCATAAATTTCTCTAATATTTCTACAATTAAGAAAACAAATTTTGGAATTGTTACTTTGTGTTTCACATGTTTCGGGGAAATCAAATCTCTTATGATTAAAGTTCTCATTTTATTTAATTAGTAGAAAAAAAACTTGGTGAATGAAGAGGAGAGTATGTGCTGCCATGTTTTAAAAAATTCCATTGGAAGGCAAATAAAGATATCCGGCTTTTTCAAAGATAATGAGGATTTAAAAAGTAAGTAATAACATGTTAAATCTACAAATAATCGAATATCCTATGTAGTAATAGTTTTGAATACACAGAATCAATTAAAAATACTATAAACATGCAATGGTGTAAATTAAGTACTGCTTTTTGAGATTTGCTTAATAAAATGGATTTTATTTTTTATTTAAAGGAGCTGTTCGGACTAACTGCTTGCATGCCGAATCAATTTCTATGGAATTTCACTGAGTACGACCATGAAGGAAAAATAAGAACAAGTAGGACAAGACAGAAGAAAATGCGTTCAAAAATACAATGGAGGACAGTGATTGGTTATAAACCTGTTAACAAAAAGTGTATATAAGTCAAATGAGTGGAAAACTTTTGAAATTTATTTTACTAGATACAAATTTCAATCTAAATCAGGGGCAAATTATTTATTGTTTTAACTGTATCAAAACACATTTGTTATTTTATACTTTCATTTACTTTTCTTGTATAGAAACAATAAATTTAATTACTGATAATTTATTTTGTTATCATAATTTATAAGAAGTTTAACAAGCCTTGTAAATTTATTTTAGGCAACTTGTATTTATTAAGTAGGATTGGTGGTAGATTATTTTCTGATTTTAGAGACGATCGGATTTGTTGATATACAAGTTTGTAACAATTAAATGTTTATACACATTGGGCCAATGTTGGTCCAATATATCGGGCCAACATTGGGCCAATGAGCAAAATGACATTGGGCCAACGTCATTTGCCAACATCGGCCCGATGTTCTTGATGACGTTGGGCCAACATTGGCCCAAAGTCGCATTCATTGGGCCAATGTTGACGCAACGTAGGGCCAATATCTGCAGAAATAACTGTCTACATTGGGCCAACGTTGGCCCAACATATCGGGCCAACATTGGGCCGATGAGCAAACTTTTACATTGGGCCAATGTCATTTGCCAACATTGGGACAATGTAACTGATGACAATGGCCCAACGTTGGCCCAATATTAGCATGCTATCTGGGACCTGAGTTACTTTGGTCTGTTCTTCGTTAGGTTCGTCCCTTATATACGAGTTAGTTCACCTTTTATGGTTACATTCATTTATCAGGGACGATGATATGAGTAGAATTAAATCTACATTTCAAGAGGATGCTTAGAAATTAGACTTATTATGGCCTTGGTGTTCTTCTTATTATATTACAAAACAAAAATCTTTAAATGGAAAAATATGATCTAAATTATAGACTACCAAAGGGACTTACAATTTAATCTTGAAAACACACTAATCTTTAAATAATTACACATTAAAAACTGATTTATATTGACTTCCCTTTTCCTGAGAAGAAATTTTTTCAAGACTTTTTAATGAAATTTATATTTATTCAAAATTGACTAGGTAGCAGGAGTTTTATATTGGAAATTAAGCGTAATAATTTACAGCTCCGCTCGTTATTAAGTTAGCGCACATGAAAAAATTAAAGTTGTATAAACTTACTTCGTTTAATAGCTAATATTTTGTTTTAGTATCTTTCCATTTCCACATATAAATGAATTAATGGGTAACATACCATTATTTCTGGCATAATGTGTCAAATATGAAAACTGCATCACATGTCATTCAAATGTTTTCAAGAAGTTGATATTTTTTTTTAAAAAAGAAGGCCACACGTGAAGATCAAGGGTTCAAAAATCATAGCAAAATCAGAAACATTTTGTCACAGGTAATGTGCATGTCAAATACCCCGGCATGAAAGCTATATCTTTTCTCTATCAAAGGTTATAAGGGAAAATACTTTTGAAAAGTAGGTCAACCTTCATGGTCAAGGTCACAGGGTAAAATTCATACATTTTTAAGAGTTCTCAGTGATAAAATGCATGTGTAATATGAAAGACCTATTTGTCCTCTTTCAAAAGGTGTAACCAATTTGATGTTATGTGTTATTTGTTTTTTTTTAAATTAGGTCAAAGGTAAAAAATGTCGAGGAGTAAAAATGCATGAAATATTTGGAAAAGTTTTGTCGGGAGTAATATTCATGTGAAATAGGCAAACCCCATCTCTCCTCTTTTAGAAGTGAAAACCAAGATTATAGTTTTTGTGAGAGACTTACAGACGAATGAGATTTAATGTCCCCATGCTTTTGCGAAAAGGTACAAGTTAGAGTTGTTTTGAATGTGCTTCAGCTGCTTATGTTCAGTAATATTATTTTCTACACTTCGTTTTTATTATTATTTTTCCATCATCAAGCAAATCATCGGCATCATGAAGTAAGACAGGAATTTATGGCATTTATGCGAAATGGACATGGGATAATAAATATTAAAGATTTAAGTGTCAACAAATATCAACAAAAGTCACTGTCTTTGCCTCGCTTGATAGTATTTATTTTAAATGTATAGCATTTGCCCAAATATAGACAAATTAAAAAAAATATCACCAGGTCCGAGGAAAGATTTTTCATAATAATTACAAATATTTTATATTTATAAATATATTTATTATAAATGTATTATGAAGGTATTATACCTTGTCGTCCGTCCAAGATGTATTTCCAAGGTAGCAAACAACAACACATTCTATTTCTTTTGGAATTTTTTTTCTTGCTGCAATTATTATTTATATATAAAACATGTCCATTAATATTATAAACAAATATTATGCAAAGCTTTTTCATATAGTCTTATTTCTTATTGAAAGAATCGTTCATCTTTGTTCCCACACAGAAAAAGTTAAATAACGAATGATTTTTTTTTTTCTTCACACTTACATTCAAACTTAGTTGTCTTGGCATCAAAACGAAAAAGATCCATACATAACTCAGGTACATTTTTCGAGTCGCCATGCAAAAGAATGAGCCCATCTTCTGGCTCACTGTTTTTATTCAAAATGCATATTTTTTTCAGGTTTTCCCAAAGAAATTCGTACTCTTCTGCAACATATTTGAAAAGGTTCAGTTCGGAAGGACCGTATTCGAAAGTGATGTAGGAGACATTTAGCGGGTAAATTTTTGATGACTCACAAGATGAACTGTAAAATAAAACATGCATATAAGTGTAAACAAGAGGTACTGTGATTACTGAGCTTACCCCAACTCCGATATTATAGCAATCGGACAAAGGGTATTGAAAGAATAATAGTGGTTTACCGCATGTACCTCTCAGTCATTCTTTTATATTAAGAATTACCGAACTCGATCGAATTTTCCTTTGAATTAACGCATAACTTTAAAGGCCGATATACACGGTAAGATTTGTATTATAAGATTTGTATTATAATACAAAATCTTACTGTGTATACACTCTTAATACAGTGTATCATACGATTTTTCGAATCTTGTAAAACTGTATTAAGAATAGGGCAATGCTCTATTTCTTAATACAAGTCTTAACTTACCTTTCACTTTCAACCAATCAAATACACTTTCATTGGGGGTCATCCTATTCATATCATGACTAAAAAAGCACATGGTAAATAATAATGGCCGACTTTACAAGTAAATACATCGAAAAACTCGTGGTTTTATGGAAAGGGGAAGAGGACTTGTGGAATAGATCAAGTGGTAGCTTCCACAAGAAAGATGCTAGAAGCAGAGCTTATTATTAGCATTTTTATTATTTTGACAGAGAGAGAAATATGGCAGGAGAAAACACGTGGGAATAATAGTTTGTTTACAATCTTATAAGATATGTATTAGCGTGTGTACAAGAAAGTCTTATAATACAAAAGTATTATAATACTTGTATTATACTACAAATCTCATCGTGTATACCGGCCTTAAGAGTATCATTACGGGTGTAAAGTCAAGTTTAATCAAGTAATAAACGAGTGTTTAAAATTCAAGCTGAATATGAAAATGGATGAGACCTGGCCAAAACTACTGAGGAAGGATTCTTATATTTGGCTGGAATATAATGAACACGAACAGCCGTTTCAGTTTAGCCAGCAGTATAGTTCAGGAAATCGTCTTTTTATTGATAGAAAACAATGTTCGGCACTGAGCATAATCTTACTTATTTTCGAATTCCATACATATGTGGAAGTGAAAAACTGTTTAATCGTCTTTTTAAATTCACAAACTTTCAATGGAATATGGGTTTTAAAAAAAGCGCGATTTTTGGCTAACAACATTTCTCACAACATTTTCTCTCTATTTCTCAAAAAATATTAAATAAATATCTGTAGATTAAAAGAAATATTTTTTAATATCTTTTTCATTACTATTATGTACGAATTTCCGAAACCTGTTGCATTGTGATATTTCTTCTAGGCCAAAGATCCCCGTGGGGATCCGGGTTAGGATAGGTCCTCAGTACCCCCTTGCTTGTCGTAAAAGGCGACTAAATGGGGCGGTCCTTCGGATGAGACCGTATAAACCGAGGCCCCGTGTCACAGCAGGTGTGGCACGATAAAGATCCCTCCCTGCTCAAAGGCCGTAAGTGCCGAGCATAGGCCTAAATTTGCAGCCTTTCACCGGCAATGGTGACGTCTCCATATCAGTGAAATATTTTGAGAGGGACGTTAAACAGTATACAATCAATCAATCAATCTAGGCCAAAGGTGATCATACAATCAAACTTGTCTAATCTCTATTGGACCATACCTGAACTCTATAAAATACACGTCCGAAAGTAGGAAGACAAGTAAGTCCTGGCCCAGGTGAATAGACAAAGAAACCTCGCTGTGCTATCTATACAGGTTATAATCTATGACCCCTTAATCGGTTCAAACAGAATCAAATGTATTTCTTCTTCAGTTAATTCATCTTGGAAACACATTTGCGATTGCAAATATTTAAAGTTACCTTGATTCCATTCTAGTAATTTTTTTAGGTATTGCTCGACTCTGAAATTCATCTGAAAATAAAATAATCACTTAATTCAGCTTTATGTATGAATTTATTTGCCTTAATTTACAAACATAGCCAAAGAAGTAATATAAATTATGTATGTGAATACTTACCAATTTTTGCACGTTTTCTCGTTTCAATTCTAGCCATGACAACAAACTGACAAATGATTCAGGCTTCGCTTCACAAAGCAGTGCCACTGGTTATACAAAAGAAATATAAGCAAATTCACGTTTTTCTAACGTTTACGTTGAAATTTTATAACATACTTAGGTTTAAAAAAATCAAATGATTCAGAAGCAACTAATTTATTAAAAGAAAAAAGATTTTTTCTGTAGATAAAAAACTTTTGAGTCAGTGCATTTTTGTTCAATGAGTGGGCAATTAAACAAATTTTTTCCACAAAATATAAAGAAAAATTTCAGCTGACTTATTCTTTAGTTATAGAATTAAAATGAGTAAGGTAAAGATTAGGAACAGTGATTGATCTTTAAACAAGAGGCCAACGGGCCTTATAGATCACCTGAGTATTGTGTAACAACTTTCAAACAAATAAATCTGGTTCGTGTTTTAAACCAGAGACCATGAAATTCATAATTCACAATTTTGAAAGAGGCACCATTGCTTATCATAATTATTAACTTAGCATGCTTACTCTATTTACTTAATACCCAGAGGTAGATCAGAGTAACAAAGAGAAAATGCACTCCAACTTTATACCCAGTTGTGCACCTCACACCAAAGGAACCACTGATCCAGGGGTCACATATTTCAAAATTGTGCAAATTTTATCATAAAGTGGTTGATTAATACCAAAGAGCAGATTTCAAAGCATTCATTCATTTTCAGACTATGTAAACCCCCCCCCCCCTCTGACCCAGGGGGCATAAAACAACCACTTTGCTAAATGCACCTTTCTTCATCATAAATATATATACTTGAGCCCCGCCCGCCCTAACACCAGAACCCCTGACCCTGGGGCCATAAAATTCACAATTTTAGAAGAGGCACTCTTGCTCATCATAACGATGTGCATAGTTAGTTTACTTCATACCCAGAAGAAGATTTTCAAAGAATTAATGCATTTTCACTATATAATCAATAGAGCCCAGCCCTAACACCAGAACCCCTGACCTTCGGGCCATAAAATTCACAATTTTGGAAAAGGCTACTTTTGCTCATCATATCTATGTTCTTAGTTAGTTTATTTAATACCCAAAAGCAGAGAAGAAGATTTTCAAAGAATTAATGCATTTTCACTATATAATCAATAGAGCCCCGCCCTAACACCGGAACCCCTAATCCTGGGGCCAAAAATTCACAAATCTGGAAGAGGCACTCTTGCTCATCATAACTAAGTGCTTTGTTAGTTTATTTAATACCCAGGAGCAGAGAAGAAGATTTTCAAAGAAATAATGCATTTTCACTATATAATCTATATAGCCCCACCCTAGCACTAGAACCCCTGACCCTGGGGTCATGAATTTCACAATTTTGGTAGAGGACTCAATGCTCACTACATTCATGCCAACAGTTTGGCTGCTTGATGTCCAGGAGTAAAGAAGAAGATTTTTAAAAATTGCAATAATTTTAGTGGTTTTGGCCCCACCCCTCAGGCCCCAGGGGGGCAGGGACCAGGAAATTCACAATTTTTGTTGCCCTTCCCCCATAGATGCTGTATACCAAATTTGGTTAAAATTGGTCTAGTGGTTTCAGAGAAGAAGCTGAAAATGTTCAAATGTTAACACACGACACACGACGCACGACGACGGACGTAAACGGATAGCAATAGGTCACCTGAGTTACTCAGGTGACCTAAAAAGGAATTTGTGAACAAGAAATAAAACAAAATGAGTGAATCTATTACAGATGTTGATTTGAACATAAACCAAAATAACATATTACCCACTTGATTATTCTATAACTTTGACACAATCGCCAGGTAAGTTAAAGGAATATAAAAACATATATTTTGAAGAAAAAGATCAGGAAAATTATTAATCGACACTAATAATGTAACATTTTTTTTATTTGAGAATTAAAAAGTAAGATGAATCTTTTGATGATGTAGAATTGATATTGAAATTAAACCCAAATCTGTACACCTTTTAAAATATGAATTCTGGGGCGGTGTACAGATAAAACTACTCAATGTGGACATCTTCCCCCACTCACCCTAATTTTCTACATGTATTTTCAGCAATCAGATTAATTACAAATGAATAGCACCGTTTCAAGACTTATAAATTCTTTCTTTGGGTTTTATTATCAAATATCCCAATATGTATATTTATCTTTTATAATCTGATTTAATTTATAGTCTGAATTAGTTAAAATCTTACGCAATTACAGTCATCAATCGGAAGTTTCACATCTTGCGTAATAATTCTTCCTTTGTATTATTCTTTTTTTAAAGTCCTACTGTGTAACTTTATATCTTTCATACGGTGATCTTTTTCAGGTAAGAATAGGTGGTTATACAAGTAAATTAGTCAGCAGTCTAGGGATTCGCAATCTGAAAAATTATCTCGCCAAATTATACAGAATTACCTTCCCATAATAAACAAAATGTACCTGGAAATTTTGTTTGCTAAAATTGGATAATCCACATGTCGTGTCTCTTTATGAAAGCTGATCACAAGTGATAAGTGGTTAATAGGCACATCAGTTTTCCATTCTCCAGTATCTTTACAATTATTCGGTAGCTGTAACGGAGTACATCTACTATTACGTTGTTTATCTTTGTATAAATTTTTAATCCACTTAAATCATTGACCTGTGTAGTTGACATCGTATATCTTATGTAATCTCAGGTAATTCTATACATTGATATATAGAATACATGCCATTTTTGCTGCACCTAAGTATTTCACAATGTACTAAAATGGAAGGAGACGTCAACCAAGGTGACAGAAATATTTAACTTTCAAAACAGCGACAAGGATGAGAAACTTGGGGGATATATTACTGACTAGAGAAAAATAATAATAGCAATCCGGACAAATATACAGACATGTAACTCTTCCTCATACGGCCCATGCAGAGCTTTCAAAAGTCTGGTCGACTTTACAGTGAAACATGAAATCTTATCAAAACTAAATCTGATAGTTTACTTCTTAATCTAACATAATGTTCGGGTAATTTTTCTTTCCTTTCGGACTGAATTTTTTATTTTTACTAATGAACTAGATATTCCAATAAAAAGAAATTAATCCATGCATTTAAAAATTAACATGTTGATTAACATGTAACGTAAATGATGTTATGTTTCCCATAAAAAAAATTGACTATTTTTCTAAAGCTTCACTAACAAAGTGCTCACTAAATCTAGTTGCACCAATTAAAATTTCTAGCTTATCACTCTTAAATTTTCACGGGTTTTTACTTTTGGTATGTGACATAGTGTGAAACCAAGACAAAATTAAAAAAAAAAGGTGCTTTAACGACGCAAAATAAAATCGGATGTTTTGGCAGAGATATCGATATGTAAATCACACAAAATTATCAATCAGGCATATTTCTCGAAGCGCTAGAGCTGTTTGTAGATGTATTTGAGGTCGATCCCCGATTCTTCTCTTCTAATAAATTTACGCTTCATTGTTCGATCAGACTGAAATATGCATTATTATCGCTCTTCTTTTGAAAACTAATATCGCCATTGTTCACACGAGTGTGTAAAATTACATTTCAAAACTTGAATACTGCACAATCAATATTAAGTGCAACAATGGTGCTCAGGCTATACTCCAGCTGCTTGTAAAATGACCCATTGTTCAGTAATTCATAAAGGCGATAAAAATACATGTTCGTGCAAGATACACTCCAGCAATATTTTTTTGCAAAGCAAATTGTAAAACAGACGAATAGTTATAAATTCCTTTGAATTGAAAGCTGATTGTTTTTGTTTTTTTTTACCTTAGAGCTATGTTGATTGAACATAATCGTTATCAACTATTTGAACATCTCCAGAACTTCAGAATAGAACATATTTGGATCTTTATTGAATAAAATTTTAACAAAAGCGATTTCTTTTAAGTTTGAAAAGCCGGGGATTTTTTTTTCATAATTTTAAGCGTGATTTTTATTATCAATTACACATTTTCGAAATTTGAACACAAAAAATCTTTATACGTAATTCATAATGAAGTATTTCTAGCCCAATATTTCTTAAGGATTCATACAAACATACCTCATACCATATTTTCATAGTTTTGTTAACCATCGATTCAGTGGTGATTTGAGTTACTTCTAATTTAAAATCTGAACCTCTCTAAATTATACATTCTGCTTTAACAATTAAACATATTGGGACATACTTTACAAAGAAAAAAATACTAGAATGTATTCTTTTACACTTAAGACGTAAAATGTGGACGTATTTCAATAATTCATGGAAGGAAAATAAAAAAAATAATAATTCTTTTGTATTTTCGATGTTATTTTGTAACAAAATGCCAAATGTATGAAAACTGTACAAATGAAAATTTAAAAAAAAACAGGAAGATTTTTATTAAAAACTTATTTCCTGATATAAAGAACAAGTATCATAATGTCCATATTTGTCCTATGTAACGTTGGTCCATGTTACAATCCTTACAAAACATGAACAAAGATCACCCACGCATTTTAAATGTTAATTCAGTAATATCAATTCACTGAACAAGGTTTTTTGCTGTATTCCAGGTCATATGTTCATCCTTGGAAACACTAAGGTTGATAGTACTGCAAAAATGACATAAATCTTTTCAAATTCTTGGACTGACCTGATATATTGTGTGTTCATTCTCTTTTACAAAAGTATTGAATTTTTTTCGATGGAAGTATTTATTTCCCGATCATAGCAAGGAGAACACGGCGAATATGACTTGTCGGCAGGGATGCTCATTCTTGCATGGCACCTGATCCAACATCCGATATGTTAGAGGTCCGCGTTGTTCTGCTCGTGATTTTCATGTTTTGTGGAATTTTGAGCTCTATATATTTCAGGCTATAAAAAAACAAAGTTAACTTATTATATGACTTCGGTCTGAATTTCAAGACGAATTGACTTTTTCTTGAATATGATTATATAATTATTCAAAACTTAAACATTTTTTTGTTATGGTATATCCTATCTCCTGTGATGTCATAGATAAGAAAACGTTTATATTAATTTAATTTCGTATCCAGTATAAACATATCTATTGGAAGAATGCTTTT